TTCACTTTAATACGACTTTTCCTCGGGTCTACGTTTATGTCTTTTGCTCTCTTTGGTCTCATATTCCAAATTCCTGGCTCACAGTATTTTTTTAAATTTATAAAGGCACAGGACTAAAACTAAGTAAATGTTCTCCAAAAGAAAAACAGAGAACGTCATTCTCCAGTTCCTGTAAATCGAATTAATGATTAATTTGCACAGAAAAAAACTGATCCAACCGCCCTGTTCCACCTTGATCTTCAATGAGGACTCCATCCAAATCACACTGAAGCCAGCAGGAAGCTCACCAATGATTTAATGGGAACCGGAGCGGGGCCCTGACCCCCACGCTGGGACGCGGACGTGGTTTGGGCTGAAGTGACATTTGCAGAGCTGCCTCTGAGCACTTTTACCAGAGCAAAAGCTCAGTTGTAATGTCAGCTCTTTCAGTCCTAGTACTCTTGAACGCTTGGTTTGACCCAGCAGAGCAGTGAAACTCGACTTGCCCCTTCTGTGGAATCAACCCCTGGTAAGGTTGAGTCCCCTAACAGGATTTCGGGGCACAGCTGGGCAGCCTGCTCGGAAAACCAAAAAATTTACAAGCAAAACACGTTGCTGGGTTATTTTTTCGGCTGGATCGGTTCCCCGAACCCAGACCCCACGCAGTCACCCAGCTGCTTGCGTTTGCTCGGGTGAGGGGACAGCAACCAGACCTGCAGCTGAGCTGCTGCTCCTCAAACTGCCACCACTGTGACCGAGTCACTCATGAAGCTTCACCCGTGCTCCGGGGACAACCTGGGCTGAGCGTTCCCCAGTACTACAGGGCACTCACACATTATGAGCTTCTCATGCTGGTGGGTGAGAAGCTCACCATGAGCCGGCACCGTGCGCTGGCAGCCCAGAAAGCCACCCGTGTCCTGGGCTGCATCCAGAGCAGGGTGGGCAGCAGGGCGAGGGGGGGGATTCTGCCCCTCTGCTCTGCTCTCCTGAGACCCCACCTGGAATACTGTGTTCAGCTCTGGAGTCCCCCACACCAGAAGGACATGGAGCTGCTGGAGCGGGTCCAGAGGAGGCCACGGAGATGATCCGAGGGCTGGAGCACCTCTGCTCTGGAGACAGGCTGAGAGAGTTGGGGCTGTTCAGCCTGGAGAAGAGAAGGCTCCGGGGTGATCTTATAGCAGCCTTCCAGTACCTAAAGGGGCTACAGGAAAGCTGGAGAGGGGCTTTGGACAAGGGGGTGTAGTGATAGGACAAGGGGCAATGGATTCAAACTGAAAGAGGGCAGATTTAGGTTAGATATAAGAAAGAAATTCTTTACATTGAGGGTGGTGAGGCACTGGCACAGGTTGCCCAGAGAAGTTGTGGATGCCCCATCCCTGGAGGTGTTCAAGGCCAGGTTGGATGAGGCTTTGGGCAACCTGGTGTAGTGGAAGGTGTCCCTGCCCATGGCAGGGGGGTTGGAACTGGATGATCTTTGAGGTCCCTTCCAACCCAAACCATTCCATGCTTCTACGATTTAACCAAGTGGGGGTTTGGGTCGTGCTTACAGACTGTCCTCTGCTTTAAGGTGTTATTTTGAGAATGTCACACAACTGCTGAGCTCCAGTGGCAGTCTGGGTCAGTGAATCACCAACATTTCAATCTATTAAATCCTTTTTTTTTTTGCTGGGGAGACCAGGAAGAGAAGAACAGTTGGGACCCACCCACGTTTCTCTCCAGTCCTAAAAGCGTAACACAAAGGAGATGGCTGTCACCTACTTTCTTCCTGAAGCCGTGCCATAACCTGGACATCGGTCAAGTCCTGCAGCTTGTACCCCATGGAGATGGAGTCATCGGACGTACTCAGCTCACTGTCCACGGACGACTGCGAGCTCAGCGCGGAATGCATGCTCAGGTAACCTGGGGGAGGGAGGAACACAGAAACCATTCAGACATCCACAGAAACCATTCAGACATCCGCAGAAACCATTCAGACATCCACAGAAACCATTCAGACATCCACAGAAACCATTCAGACATCCACAAAAACCATTCAGACATCCACATAGGACACGAGAACGAGCAGCAGAGTATCTACTCCAGTAAGGAAATCTGTGAAGTTGAGGCATGGCTGCTAGAAATAATTAAGGAGTTAGAAAGGACTCGAGAGCACAGTGCTCAGTATTTTAACCTGCAGTAAGAGGCAGAGAGTCTTTGTGCAGGGAACAAACTGTGGACTTCTGTCCAGAGGTGACACAGGGATGCTTGGAAATGTTGAGCTTGGAAATGCACTTGAAAAGGTCAGCATTATTTCTGTGTGTTTTGAGAAAGGGGCAGCTATGGATCCAAATATTAAGCAGCAAAGTTACAGAAAGTGCTTGCCAGGATGCTGGTGAGCAATCACAGGAGTGAAAGGACCCAAATGGCTTTCAGAGTACAGCACCTCACACATCAGTCGTGCAATCTGCTTATGCAAAACAGAGTTTACACTAGATTGCCTCCTCCCCATTCCTGAGGTTTATCCATTTTTATTTTGTCCTCTCACCATAAACCAAACTCTCTCTTACAGGGAAGGACACGGCTTGTTCATGCAGCAGGCCAGAAAAAGTAAAGTGGAAGGATCTTTCCACCAGGGTTTTTCCATAAGTCAGGCATTAGGAAGAGCAACACATAATTTTCCTTTTGAAGAATAATAGTAATAATATCATCACAATCACCATGGCCTGAAGTCAAGCCAGTCAGTATTTTCCATGGCATGAAAGTACAGCTCCTTGCTACGGAGACAGCGAGATGAGACCGAGCCCTGTAAGTTTGGGGTTACACTGCTGCTCGTCCTTCCCACCTGGGAGGCTTGTAAACGGTGCTGTGCACAGAAACGTGGTGTCACAACAGCCTTGGGGTGCCTGTTACTGCAGGAAGGCCACGTGTCCCCTGGCAGCCCCTTATCTCCACCTGCAGCTGGCAGTGATGGGACAACCTTGCCACCATTCCGGCAACGCTGATTTTGGCTCCGTTTTGGCACACCTCCATCTCCTTTTCCCGTTTTGGAAACACCATACTGCTTTGCATCCAGAAAACCAAACCAAAAAAACATGGCTGGAAAGATTTCTGGAAACACAGAAGGCTTAGTGGATGTAAAACCTCTGCACGGCTACGGGTTACAAAATCCCTGACGTGCTCCGAGCGTGACCACCCCTCGAACACAGATGCATAAGGCCATAAACTTACAGAGCTGTTTTAGGAAAGAGTACATCATTACCTTCAATAATTCCAAGACAAGGTTGCAATTAGTACTATAGAGATTTAGATCCACCAAAAAAACCCACAAAAACCCGACATGATTTGTCAGAAGATCAGCTAAACCAGCAGACATGCAAGAGCCTAAGAGCACTTAACATCACTTTCAGCTGCAGCAGGCTTAAGAAATACAAATCCTGCTCAAGCAGGGATTTGAGATCAGCACTTAGGAAAAAAAAAGCAACAAGTGGGCTGGAGCACACCAGCCAACACATCAAGAACACCCATCAGCCCCCCAAAGCATCTATATGATGTCAGTCACCATTGACTTTCACACTTTTGCCTGCTGCGTTCCAAGAAGTCTTGAAGGCAGCACATCCACTGAATAACTCAACAATGACACCAGAAATAAATCTTATCTGTTCTCCACAAAGCACCTAAAACCCACTGCTGAGCAACCTTTCAAACAACGGTGAATTCCAGTCAGGCAGAAAAAAAAACCAGCAGGTTCCCAACGTTATTTCTTCAACCAGTTCCGAAAAGCCGTCGCTGATGACGTGGAAAACACACCTTTGAAGTCCAGGCGTAACCCAAATTTCTTAGGTGGATGTTGAGGAACGTGGTTTGTAGCAGTAATTCACATTCCTCACCTGAAAAGGCAAAAAGTTTCTCCAGTTCCAGGACGCCCAAACAACGCAGCGCCAGAAGCGTGACTGCCGTGGACGGGGGGTGTAAGGTGGGGGGTTACACAACCACACGCTCCCGGACTCTCCAGCATCAGGACTGCACTGCTGGGTAACATCATCCCATTTCTGCCCTGCTGGTGTCAGGAAAAGACACTGGAAGCAGCTGAAACAGAGCCAAGGTGAGAGCAGGGATCGCACCTGTAGGAGGCACTACGAGGAGGAAGCACGGGTGTCCTGCTGGAACTGACACCTTGAATACCAAAAGGTGTATTTTTGAGGCAGCTGTGTGCTGAATACGGCTTTTTAAAAAGTTCCCAATTCAGTTGTGTGTGTTGAGTTGGGTTGTTGTGTTTCCAGGGTTGGGGGGGGAAGAAAAACCTTCACGTTCCTTCATCAGCAAAAACTGCTGCGGCTCCACACCGTGAGACGAACTGGTTATGGTCTGCATTATAGAAACTTCAAAATAAATACTCCACATCTGGATTTTGTAAAAGGGTTTTTTTTGTTTAGTTTTTAAGAGAAGTTACCGTTAAACGTTTTTCACTTGAACCGTAAGGAAGCTCCATTTTTCTTAGAAATAAAATTAGATTCGAGTCCATCAGGCTGACAGTGAACTTGAAACTCCCGTTAGCGCTCACGCGAAGGGAACTCCCGTGGGTTATCCCACACGGACAAAACCTGCTCTACATTTGGCTTTTTATTTGGAAGCCCTGACAGCCTCAGCAGGTTTGCAGAGTGAAGGAAGCAGTCCGAAGGTGCACAGACACTTCGGGTTCCCACAGAAGCAGCTACTGACGTGTGAACCCAAAGGTGCTCAGACATCTAGATTGCCAACCAGCCTCATACAAAAACCAAGAAATTGATGGAGAGATTTTTCCCTGCAGAATTCTGCTTGTGAAAATACCCAGTCCTACGTGCACCCTTTTGTTTGCAAAAGAGGGATAAGGGTTAATTTCTATTTACGGCAGAAAACCAGCAGATCTCAAAAGCATGCCTGCAGCTGGGAAAAACATCCTTACAAAAAAAGAAGTTCACTTAAAGTTTCAAGCCAGAAACTGTTAAACATGCTTCATCTTTTTAAACATGCAAATTAGGATATAGCAACTTCCAAAAAGAAAACCCCAACAAACCAAGACTCCTTTGCTAACGAAGCCAAGAGGCAAAGTGTTTGTCCTCGGACACGGAGCACGAACCGCCCCACGGACAAACGAGGCTCCTGGAAGAGCCTACGTGGAGTCCTCAGGCTGCAGCTTCAGTGCAAAGGCAGAGATGAGGCCAAGTCATTCAGGAGAAGCTTCATCATCATACCTACGAGTACAGGTGTATATATAGCACATAGAGCATCCAACAGTGCATATAGTACCACAACCCATTAAGTGTGATGGAAGCTTTTGTTCCGGTGTTTAGCTGCCCCCTCAGCCAATTTAAAGGCAGATCCTGGAGACCCCACCTTTTATCTTAAAGCATAAGGCTTCTTTCTGCTGCCTACAGCAGTCACTTTTTGCTAAAGCAGCTTCACAAACTCTCAAGCCAGACAACTGAACCCCAGTACCTCGATAAAGCGAACACCTACACATGACAACATCATTCAAGAGCAACATCTCCTTTGCCCCGACAGCTGTTTTCTATTTTAAACCTCCTAAAATTAGTACAATTTACAAATGCATAGAGAGAAAGTGACAAAAACAAAAACCACGAAATAACTGCAAGACATTTAGAACGCAAGGAGGTTCTCTCCCACTCAACGGACGAAATCTGGGTGGGTCAACGAGCCAATTAAAAGGGGGAAACCCCCACGGGTGGACTTGCACCTCTTGGCAACTTCTCCCCGTGCCAGCTGGCCACGCTCCTTGCATTTTAAACACCACGGGTCTGCGCTGCTGCACGCCACGCCGTACCTGAGCTGCCACAGGTTAGTAGGGCTTTGTTAGTCGATTTGAGGTGCCCGGGAGAGTTTAGTGCATTGCTACAGGAGCCTGGCTCTGGGTTCAAATTTTGGGCGCTCGGCGATGCCAACGGACTGCAATACAGGTTTTTCCATCTACTGGCTAGAAGGGAAAATACAAAAAAAAAAAAAAAAAAAAAAAAGCCGTACAGGTTATCAAATTGTTTTTAAAAACGAAGAGCATGAGATAAAGAAAGGCATTAGGTCAAACACGTTTCAATATCGCAACGGGTGTGCTTCACACCAGGCATCGGGACGGGGTGGGTGACAAGATGCACGAAGCAAAGCAGCGCCTGTTCCCCTCCTCGCTCTGCCCTTGAACTTGTTTTGTCACTTCTGAGGAATTCCAAGAACAACTACTGACAAACTTGGCTTTAAAGAAGCCATACGTTTCTGAAAGTTTCAGTGCTGGTCTTCAAATCTGACTGTTTTCAGCAACATTTGTAACTTCTACACCCCATCTTCATTTTCAAGAACTCCACTGAGCTTCATCTTGACACGTATTATTTTGAATTTTTAATGATGGAATTACAACAGCATTAAACCACAAAAGCTATGCCTTTAGATCAAAAGGAGAGCAAATGAATACAAAAAACAACTGTCCTGAAATCTTTATTCAGCACGCAGGCTCACAGATGAGTTGGTGAAACCATCGAAAAGAAGCCAGGTAGCAAAATTTAGTGCATCCATGTTACTGAAGCTGGAAATCAGCAGCTCCAACACAAAGGGAATGGCTCAGTCCAGGATCTGTGTCTGTTCAAGGAGCTGCTGAATCGCCCACCGAGCCTTTCCCATTGAGAGAATGGTAGTGAAGAAATAGATATAAATAGTGAATTTATATAGATTCACTATATAAATAGTTTTCTTTTTTATCTCCCCCACAAAGTCAGACTATTTTAGTTAAAAAGCAGTACCAACAAAGACTGATGCGTTTCAGACAAAGCAAAGAGTTAATCAAATGAATCTTCACTCAAACTTTTAAGCGCAGATGGTTTGTAACAGTAAATGAAGTTTGCTCTGAAACTACGTCCAGTTATGTCAAATGAGGAATTTCAAGGCTAAACTCAAAATAAGTCTGATTACCACCAGTGCCAAAACACTCTCAGTATGTAAACTTCAAAACCCGAAAGCCCAAACAAAACAGTGGCCTCTCAGACTTCAAACCACTGAGGTCAAATTGCTCCCAAAACCGACATCGGAACCATTGTGTTCACACAGGGGGCGGGCGGCCAACTCAGACCCACCCGGACCACAACTTTGGGACCAAACTGGGGGTTGTTCAGCGGTGACGACCACCACTGAGCTTCAAAACATCCATCCCCTCAGCAGCTTCACTCTGTCAGACGTTGCCAACCACAGCTTTTGTGTTTAGACGTTGACAGACGGGGCTGCGGCACGTCCTGCTCCGCAACGCTTCTCAGTGATGGGTTGGAAAGAAAATAATAGAATCATAGAATGGTTAGGGCTGGAAGGGACCTTCAAAGGTCATCTAGTCCAACCCCCCTGCAAGGAACAGGGACATCTCCAACTAGATCAGGTTGCTCAGGGCCTCATCCAACCTGGCCTTGAACGTCTCCAGGGATGGAGCATCCACCACCTCTCTGGGCAACCTGTTCCAGTGTTCTACAACTCTCATGGTAAAAAAATTTTTTCCTAATATCCAACCTGAATCTACCTCCCTCTATTTTAAAACCATTACCCCTTGTCCTATCACAACAGGCCCTCCTGAACAGCCTCTCCCCATCTTTCTTGTAGGCCCCCTTGAGGTACTGGAAGACCGCTATAAGGTCACCCCGGAGCCTCCTCTTCTCCAGGCTGAACAGCCCCAACTCTTTCAGCCTGTTAAAAGAAAGAAAGAAAATAATAAAGCCTGGTCAGCCCTCCAGCTGCAGGGTAAGCCACAGCTGCCAGGACAGGAGAGCTGTGTGATACAGATGGCTATAAACCACACGGAAGGATTACTGGTCCACTTTGAACTGCTCAGCATCTTGGCTATCAGCAATTCAGCCCAGGGCTCGTTTTGCATACCAAACTGGAGTGCATCTGGGAAAACGAAGGTAGGATGGATTTCCACCAGGTGGATTCCATCTACAGATACGCAGAAACAGAATAACCCTCTCGGTGTTGTAATGAGGCAAACTCTGCACCTATTCTAACGGCACTTACAGCACCGACAGGCTAAAATGGGATTGATCCTTCTGTGATCCAAACCAGGAAAGGAAAAAACCACAAACCTACGGCCTGGAACAGGGGCTGTGGTGGTGACTGTGACTACTGAACAGGATGCTCCGTAGAATTTTTGTTTCAGGCAGATTAAGGACGGGATTTTCCCTCGGTGGGTGAGGAACAGCTGACACAGCCACCACCAAGTGCTTTTAGGGGATGACAAAACTGGGAGAAAAACTAGGTTTCCAAGTGACACCATTTCTTCAAGTTACAGATTTTAATGTTTCATTACTGTAAGCTTTTGGCATCAGAAAACTATTTTACCCACGCAATAATACCAAAGGTAAGACAGAGGGAGAATATTCACCATTAGAAAGACTCGACACTAGAACTTTTTATATAGAAAAAAGCTGCAATAATGGTTTCATGTGATTCTCTTCCCGACTCCCCAGAAGCACCTTTTTTCCTCTAAATACTTTTACATTAAAATTGTTTAAATATATAAAAAAAAAATCAATTAAGAGTCTGAAAACACTAACATGTTTCAGCATTTAGGCTCTGAACACATCAAAAAAAAACCAGAAAGGAAGGTGGTCAATTTGGCAACTAATTCCAAACACCTGTATTTGCATCTTAAAAACGCAGAGAAGCAAAACATCACCATGTGGTTTGTTTTGTCCATTCCTGGTGACCAGCACAGTTTTCTTGGTGTTCCCAGAGCCACCTCCTCCCTCCACCAGCTGAGGCATCTCCAACATGACCCAGGAGCAGGGAGGGATTGACACAAGGACAAACACGGGTACCCGGGGCGCAGCGTTGGAGGCTCCATCCCTGCAGACATTCTCCACTCCAGCAAGCCCAAACTTCACGTCTCCACGTCCCTGCTGCTCTGGGACGTGAAGCCCACCCGTGGCAAGGACAGATGCTCGTGGCTGACCTACCTTGGTCGAGGCGGGTGAGAAGCGTCCGGCAGGTGGCTTCTGTCTCGGCGCTGGGACTCTCCAGCACCTGGCGGCACCAGTGCAAAGCCGAGGCCATTTGCTGGTCCACAGTGGACTTTCTCGGCGACACGTAGAGCCTTTGTGAGGGGGGAATGGAGACAGGAAAAAAAAACCACTCATTAACCCCAGGCAGCATTTACTAAAGCGTGCCCAACAGCAAGCAATGGGAAAGTTATCCAAACTAAAAACGGGGAAAAAATTAAAGTTTAAGCCGTGTGCTAGGACTCAACCAAAATTTACTCTCACAATAGCAAAATTCGGTTAAAGATGGCTTTGCAGGGATGGCACACAGCCTCTGCACGGCACGGGTCGAGCCTGGGCTGTGGGGACAGCCACCACCACGGCACCCCCGCCTCCCTCGCCACTCCTCTCTCCCAAAACCCATCCCACCACGAAGCCAGGAAGGACCAGGAGGTGGCTCTAACTCCAGACTCGAGCTGAGCTGCTTTCAGAAGCCTGTTGTCTTCTTCTGGTGGACGAGAAGCTCAATATGAGCCGGCAATGTGCTCTTGCGGCCCAGAAGGCCAACCGTGTCCTGGGCTGCATCAAGAGGAGCGTGGCCAGCAGGTCGAGGGAGGTGATTCTCCCCCTCTACTCTGCCCTCGTGAGACCTCACTTGGAGTACTGCGTCCAGTTCTGGAGTCCCCAACATAAGAAGGACATGGACCAGTTGGAGAGGGTCCAGAGGAGGGCCACGAAGATGATAAGAGGGCTGGAGCACCTTTCCTATGAGGACAGGCTGAAAGAGTTGGGGCTGTTCAGCCTGGAGAAGAGGAGGCTCCGGGGTGACCTTATAGCGGTCTTCCAGTACCTCAAGGGGGCCTACAAGAAAGATGGGGAGAGGCTGTTCAGGAGGGCCTGTTGTGATAGGACAGGGGGTAATGGTTTTAAAATAGAGGGAGGTAGGTTCAGGTTGGATATTAGGAAAAAATTTTTTACTATGAGAATGGTAGAACACTGGAACAGGTTGCCCAGAGAGGTGGTGGATGCTCCATCCCTGGAGACGTTCAAGGCCAGGTTGGACAAGGCCCTGAGCAACCTGATCTAGTTGGAGATATCCCTGTTCCTTGCAGGGGGGTTGGACTAGATGACCTTTGAAGGTCCCTTCCAGCCCTAACCATTCTATGATTCTATGATTCTGCTTTTGTTAGAAACCCCACGGCTCGGGACACTGCACCTCCTGCACCGCAGGCAGCCGCCCCCTGAGACACGGGACGAACAGGGAGAAGTGTGCCACAGATTTCAGGGCTCAACAATTCAATCCAGAAATCTTCAGACAGTTAGGAAGTATGACTGTATGCTACCTTTCCTTTTTTTTTTTTAATTGGAATGTCATTTAGTTCTCCTAAAGCCTAAGTTCCTGACAGGGGTAATACACTCAGCGTTGTTCTGCATACACGTACAGGATGAGCCTTATGTACAGATTTAATCATCTTATAGTCTTGGATTCTTTATAACTGATTGTGTGTAAAGTAGAATCTTAACTGCATTTCAGAAGTAGAAAATTTCTCTCAAGAAAGGTCGAAGGGTAAAGGAGCCAGACTGAAAAGCAACTCAAGTACTTTACTGACATACCCCACAGTTCCAGTTTTAAAGTCAAGAAATCCCAACAGGAAGAAAAAAAGCACCCTATATGTTAACATACAAATAGCAACACACTTAAAACTTTCATGAGGGGAAAAACCAGATCAGTGTTGTGTACATATAAAAGTTAAACAGTTTTTAATTCTTGCAGGTCGCTTGGAGAACACCAGCCGCGGGCAGAGGGCATCGGGATCTCCATCCATGCATATTAGCACGAGAAAGGCAGGAATAGAAACAAAAAGTGCTGCCACTAACAGAATCTGCCCAGAGAGACAAGAAATTTCCTTCATTTAATAAGAATTATACACACCTTACTTTAACTTTAGAGTCCCAGCTAAGGAATCTTAACATGCACACGCTAATATTTCTGTGCTGGAACCGCACCGCTGCACAGAGACACTTAATGCAGCATCCTGGTGAGGCCATTCACAGCATGATGGAAAGGCTTCCAGGGGAGCTCTGGGATGATGAACCTAAGGACCTGCATCTGTGCAGCTTCTGGAAGGTAATCACCTCCAAACTCAGTAAAAAAGCAGAGAGAACATTTTCTGAAGGCAGAAACTTTTTCTGATCTTGTTCTCAAGACCATAAGATTCTTCAACTTCAAGTTTCTTGCCACTGAATTTGTCCACAATGTAATTTGTTAGAATTACATGTACCAGAAGAAGAAGAAAACTTCCAACTCTCCAAAACTGTAGATCCTGAATACCTTTCTTGAAAGGATGTGCTCCGAGATTAAATCTGGGGGGACGAACGCACAGGAACACACTATGGGACTCTCAGCTGTCCTATCCACAAAGCAACGTTTGGCTAAAATAAAACATACAAACAACTGAGATGATGTACTGGCATCAAAGTGCCCATCTAACCTGTCACCCTCTCTCCTGGTAAGGACAAGTCTGGAAACAACCCATCCCAAAGCGGTGCCGATGCAGACGGTGGTCCTGGACCGCCACGGCGACTTGGGGCTGTCAGATGGAGCATCTCCCTCTCAAACAGCATTTGTCAGCAGAGCCTGACAAATCTAATCCCTTTTTTGGATCCGCAGCTGCTTCCAGCACCCACAGCACCCTACTGCAGTGAGTCACCTGCTCTTTACTCTGGATATTGTCTGGTTCCTGGGGGACGGGATACAGGTGGCAGGTAATTATTCTCTGCTGCTCTTGACACATCACTCATGACTTCACAGATCTTAATATTACTCCTGCCCTGGCCAGACCCATCTTTTTCAGAGTGTAGAGATTCAGCCTCTTTAGGCATGTCTCTTGCAGAAGCTTTTTCGTACCAAGCTTTACACAAAACCACATGCAAATAAAAAAAAAAAAATAAAAATCCAAAAGCTAATTTGTTATTGACAAAATAAACGCTGAGAAACGTGAACACAAATACCCCTTTCATGAAGGAGCCCACGAGCACAACTTGCTGCACTTGTGCACGGCTGAACGAGCATCACAGCCACGCGGAGCCAACAGAACAGAGACAGCAAAGTGCTCGCTCTCTGCATTTATCTTACAGTTAAAAAAAAAATCAAACAAGAAAGAGGCCAACAGCCTCCTTAGGGCAGGTCACGCTGTTCTTCACGTATTTTAGGTTAAGGGAGAAAATCCTGCCCTGCTTCAGGAAGGAGTTGTTCCATCCTGCTCCTTCTAACCGTGTTCCTACCCAGGACTACACCAGCTGAAAATGATAACGCTTGCCTGGTTGCTGGGACCACGTCCCCATGGAGCAGAGAGGCTCCTGCCTCCAGGGTGTCGAGCCCTCAGGAACCTGCCAGGAGACTCCCATTTTTCAGCCCACAACTCTACGGGCAAGAGATGGTCTCACTTGGAATTCCACCACACTCAATTAAGTAAGCACAACTCCATTTTTCAGAGCACTGATGGGCAACTTAAAATTAAAAAAAAAAAAAAAGGAGGAATTTTGGTTTGATTTCAGTGTCAGGTTTACTATTTTCCTTTTTAGTAGCTTTGGGGAAGGGACACACCATTAAGAAGCAAAAGTCACTTTTTAGCAGGGCAGACACGGGGCTGTGCCCCTGCAGAGTCCGTCCTTCCACCTTGGCTCTGCGGGGGCAACGGCTTCTGCTCCCACCACTCCAGCTCCAGTGCCAAACCCCACACGGCAGGATTAAGGGAGAAAATTAGGGTTTCCAATTAGGTTTCCAACCCACTCACAAGCCATGGGGCACAAGCACAACACCACAACAGAAATCAGCCCGAGTTTGGACCTGTTCTTAAAACTAGAACGACATGAAGACACAAGGTAAGGCACCTCTTTTCGGGCGCCTCCTGCTCCCCACTCCCCGTTTTCAACACTTGCATATCTTAAAAAAAATCAAAAATGAGTTCTTAGTATTCCTCAAAGTATAAAGCATCATCCCCTCTAGTGGAGGATATTAAAGAAAAGGTCAGCAACCAAAAGGACTGGGCTGTTAAAATGCACCAGTTCAGCAGTGACCACAAAAAACAAAGCCACTGTGAATTTCTCAGAAACCACCAAAAACCCCAAGTATCAAAGTACACGCTGTTCCAATATCAGCTACACTTTTATTTCCCAATGTATAATATTAAAAAAAAAGGATTATAACAACATAGTGAGCTATTTGCTTTGACAAATACACTGCGACACATTGAGATTTTACTTCCATGTGGACAGCACAAAATTCCCCCCAATCAGCAAAGCCACCTTATTAAAGTTGATCCTAAATCCATGCAGCGTGAAGGTGTTCTTTGGTGGTTTTTTTTTTGTTTTTTTTTCTAAAAAGCCCCTCCTCAACCACTGTTTTCTGGTTATTGCTGATATCTGCCTGGACAGCACGTAGTGGGATGTGCTCACGAAGAGAATTCCGGCTCTCTGGCAGCAAGCACAGCCGTGCACTACTGCCTGTTAATGGTTCCCCACCTCCAGCTTGGCTGAAGAGCTCTAGAACAAGGAGCCACCACAAAAACAGCTTCTTGTGTTACCAGGTTTGTTTGACGAGAGGAAAATAAACCAGAGGGAAGCGACGCAGCACGATCGAAGGTAATTTCTGATAACAGAACCTGCACAAGAGCTCCATAACACCACCTCTACTGAGCTCCTTGGGGTGCCTCTTACCAATCTGTTAGCCTACACCAACCAAATTTGACGGAAACAGAGGTTATCAAACACATGAAGACCCTACAAGGTCTAGCGAGAAGGTACCTGGTGAAGGAAAATGACTTTATCAGCCACCAACTCAAGGAAAAGTTACACTGAAAAGTGTTCACTGCCCGTGTGCATCTCAGACTCCCTCTGGTTTCTTTACTGAGTCACAGAATCACGGAATGGTTAGGGTTGGAAGGGACCTCAAAGATGAGTCAATCTAGTTTGAGGGATCTCTCATGTCACAGGCTGTATAAACAGGAAAATAAAACTAGCCGTTTTCATTAACATGCAAATAAGGAAGCCTGTCTTCCAAATTCAACTTGTTAAATGTGTTCCCTTATTTTTTCACTTTTTTAATTTATTTTTTTTTTTTAAGAAATCTGCTCAAAATGCTGTTTAAGTATATCAAAGAGTCTCAGTGATCAAGTTAGAGGCACTATTTGTGTTTTAAAAGAAAGCTTCCAAATGAAAAAAAAACAAAACACCACCAAACAACCCAAAACCTGACTACCAGCAGAAGTTCAAATCAAACGAGGAGACACTTGTACCACCCACAGCCAGGGGAGGTGCAGGAACGAACCTTCTGAGCATCCAGGAAACGAACGCGTAGGAAGAAACTCCACTTTGAAGAACACCTTCTAACTTCATACATTCCTTTCAAAAATGAATGCACACTGAAAAATCAGCCTTCCCTCATTGGTCATCTGAAAAACATCTTCCCCTGTTTTTAATGTCACCTTGAATTTCGACTTGAGCTGACGTCATTATGTAACTGAGCTCCATTCCAACAGCAAACAGAAGTTCACCTTCTCTGATAAAGGCTAATGAATTTTTAGAGTTTAGGGCTTGTTTTGTATCCAGCAGCCACTCTGCAATGCTGCCCTCACTGCTGGATTCATCTCCAGCTACAGGATTTTGAAACACGACTTGCAGATCCCCGAGGCTGTCCTACAAAGTCACAAAATTCAGAACTCCAGGTAAAATCTCCAGTCGCAGCTACTGCATGAGCTGGAATTAGCCTCAAACTTGAGCTGGCTTTGGAAGGGTGAGGGAAATTAATCTGCTGATTTATAAACCAAGTTCTAAACAAGGCTGCTGGGGAAGCAGAGAGTCTACCAGTACGGCCAGTTAAGGATTACACCATGGATCTGTCTCAGATCGTGTCTCTGAACAAAAGGAACAGGTTAACTGGGAAGAACCAGCATCCAGGAAATGGGGATCGTCTGAGACACAGCAAAAGCCACAAATTCCAGACAGTCTCAGTTTCTGTTCTACAAAATTCTTATTTAAATACAGTATTTTACAGTTACGTACAAAGTTGGAAGACTCCACTATCCATTCACCTGTGTGCATTCTACCCAAAGAAACTACGGGGGGAAGGAAGTTCTCCGTGCTTGCTACAGCAGCATCGGGAAGAAAGAGGGAAAGACAAGCCTTACAATTAAACTGATCTTTTTGAAAAAAAATTAGGCTCTGGCACAATATTCTTAAAAATCAGAATAGTCGATAATGAGAACTGCATTCTTGTTGCTAAAAACCAAAGCACTGTATAGAAATCACTTCGTATCCTTAAAAATTCCTGCTCACCCAAACACAGAAACTCCCAAGCGCAGCGGCTTAAGTTCCACGTATCACTGAAGTTCCACCATACGTACCAGCAATGTTCTGCTCCGTCGCAGTCTGCGAGTTCCAACGCGTTCACTTCGTCCAGATCCGTGTCATGCAAAAGACTTTCCAGGTCTCCACGTTTCTCACTGGGCTTTTGTTCATTCATTTTAATGGAGGAATCAACACCTGCAATGACCAAGTCTCCCATAAGCTCCGTGCTACTACTTGTATCCATACGTGAAGAACATCTAACGTTGTCGTTGGGCTTCATGTCCACCTCAGGCACGTTGGAAGACAATTCCCCCGCGGCACTGTTGCAATTATACGGCACTTGGGCATCCAGGTCTTTTTTCAAGCAGTCGTTCTCTCCTTCCTCTTTTCTTATTTTGCTTAATTGGTTGTGCAGGTCTGCCATGATTTGCAACTCCTGCTTCTCCGTCATCGCGTTGATGCTGTTATTGATTTCCGTCCCGTTAAGACCAGAGTCGTGGTTATCCCCACTGCTCCGGATCTCACTCTGCACGTTTGTCCCCAGCACGCTCCTGCTGCTCTTCGTCCTTGGGTGCTGATTCTCCATCTCCAGCCTCCTCATCAGCTCCCGCAGCTTTCGCACCTCCTCCAGCTCCGGGCCCACCTCCTCGGACGCCGGCTCCGTGCCAGGGCCCATGGCAGAGTTCTCCGTTGGGTCTCGTCCTAAGCCGGGCTCCAGAGCATGATCCTGCTGGATGACCGGGGCATTTCCAGGCACCACCATCATCCAAGCGCACGGGTTCCCTGCAAGACATGAAAAACGTATAAAAGCTCCACAAAGATCCACAATATTTTAAGCAAACTGGAATTAAACACCAAAAATTCTGACTTTTCTAAGCGTGAACTAATTACCTCGGGGTACAAGGTGACCGAATTTAATCAAAATCTATTGAGAAGAACAACTGAAATTAGCAGGAAACATTTCAACAAACACAAACCACTCGTTTTTAACCGCTAGGACGTGCAACTATTGTGCTACAAATCAGACCGTACAAAAAGGAAGCTGATTTAATCACGCACAATAGTTTAGTTTCCATCTGTTTACAAACAAAATATTCCAGAAAAGCACTGATTGAGCAAAGCCAGGAAAGGCAATTAGCAAGGTGCTGGCGTCAGACAACGGCATTAAGAAAATGGCAAAAACATCCTTTGCTCGTTACCAGGTTTATCCTGGAAAAGCAGAAAAAACAACTCGAAAACGTTTCTGTGTCAACTTCTCCCAAAGACAAGGACGATGACTAACGACAGGAACGGCGGCTGCCGTGGCACACGAAAATAAGCAATAACCAACGTCTTTACTGGTGTATTTTCCCGTTAAAACTGGAAAGAGAGGGGCAAGCTCTCTGACGCAAACGCAGCGAAAACAGAAAAATAAAATAAATGCATCACACTTAGATGACGTTTTCCAATAAGTTCCATAACATGGATCCATCTCTCTGCTTTTCCCATCTAAGTGCCCCTGCTCCCGGCCCAGGGCAGGAGGTGCGGAGACCATCGCCCGGGCGTTCCGCCTTCCCGAATAACGCCGGAGCCTTCAACCCAGGATTTTACAGCACGGACAGAACAAGGGTTCAGGTTGATTTAAAACTGATTCACGTGACATTTCCGATCCAACGCGGTTCCGAGCTGACTCTTCCCTGAAAAGCCCCTACGTCAGACGCCGCAGCCGATCCAAAGTTTAAAAGATTCGATGCGAGGCCCTGCAACGTTTGAACCCTCATTTTTGTTTTGTGGCTGTAGATGTTCTTTCCCCCTCCCTTTGCTGCCTGAGAACTTCTCCTGCTTTTAAGGCCTAAGTGCCAGCAGGCAGAGGAAACCCCCAAAATCACGTGTCACCCCAAGCACCCAGAGCAAGCGCGGTCGGAAGGACAGACACCCTCTCTACACACCTGAGCATCTCCCTACCACGTGTAACAGCACTAGCTGAGCGTGCTTCCTAAAAAATACAGTTGTGGTTTGGTTTTTTCACTTGACAGGTTGTTTTTTTTTTTTTTTATTTTGGTCCTCTACGTGTAAGATGACAATTTTAGGCTGATGTTTGAATTACTACCGAAGACGAAGGGTGCGCAGAAGAGCTGACAGCAGCGCGCTCCAAACGCCGCTTTCAAAATCCCGCCTGCAAGATTTTGAAATCCTGGAGCCAGCAGGACACGGGGAAAAAAAAGTTTAATTTGCAGTTACCAAACAACCCGATTCCTACTCATTTGCCTGCTTTGAAAAATCTCCCTGCGTGTGTTCTCACTCCTACGAAATCATCCGGACCAGTAAAGAAACTGCTACGATTTCCGAAGCCGCTGCCCAGTGACTCGCTGAGGATGCACCAGTGGGGAGTTTGGGAGTTTTACTGGCAAAGCAAAGGCAGTGATCCAGGAGGAGGAAGAGCACGGAGATCCCGAGCACCCAGTTCCTCTGCAAGGCTGAGGAGCAGCAAAAAAACCTGCGTTTTCATTCACCGAGGGGGAACAAACAGATTGAAACCGTTCAGCCCTTTCCCACGACCACCGAGTCTAAAACCCCCCAAATAAAGCCGCAGGGATACGGGAGGGGAAAAAATATGAATCTGCAAAACTTCATTTCGTTGTGTGGC